CCAACGTGTATGTGATCTAGGTTTACTCTAACTACGTATAGCTCTAGAATCTCTTCGACCAAACATTGTAGAATTCTGACACACTCTTTGGAGAAATAATCAGCCTAAATCAATAAAAAAAAAATCAAAAAAATCCATGAAATGTAGAAGCTATAACTAGGTTTGTTAGATGATCCTAGGAGCTTAGTTGTAACTCACAGATAGAAAGTTACAAGTCTTTGTTGATATTTTAAGACATATTGGGGTTATTAGTATCAAAGTGTGCTTAAAAAGCATCTACGAAGGTCTTTTCTAACTGCTATTAACCGGTTCACTGCCTCGCTCGAGTCTCTAAACACTCTTTTCTGGGATTCTAAAAAAATGATTAGTCGGTTAATGTGTTAAGGGAAGTATTCCAGATCTGTGTCTTTCCTTAATCATTTCTGGCGACAATCTGCTAACACAAAAGAAGAATATGGAGTTAATATTCACTGTATACGAAAATCAAACAATACCGGTAACTTTTGATAAGAGTAGGCTTCGGTCGCCACCCGGGCAAAATTCCAAATTTCCTACCAAAAGAAAATGTTTTGAACCGAGCGCTCATGTGACATTATGCAGTTGCGAGCGCCCTATAACACACACAAAAATAGAAGAAAAATACCGTGAATTTGTTTCAGATGCTTAGAATGTATTTCATGAGTCTCATATTATTTCGAGTCACTTCCGTTTGCACATTGTGTCACACATCAATTGATATATTCTACGTATCCAAAAAGAACTACTTTTATGATTTGATTTGTATAGACTGAACTAACTAGTTTTGTCCTATTTTGATAAATCCACGGCAACCAAAGTAGCCGTCGAGGACATCAATCCAGTCAAATAACCTCGTTTTTAAATGTTTCAATGGCATCCCAAAAAATATTAATTCTGTTAACATTATCTAGAACAATATGTGGATTTAAAACTCAATTGTAGCTAAACGTTCGGGCTTTTTCAAGTATATTTTCATGTACTTGGATCGTTGATGTTAATGGGACTTTACTTTTCACGAAAATTTGCTTCATAATAATAAATAATAAATAGCATTTGTTTAGCGCATGTCCCCACCCGAAAGCAAGCTCTATGCGCTTTACACTATATTATTACCCCAGTAGACCAAATAACACTCAGAAACTTTCTCAGTTTCCCGTTAAGCATGTAGTGCAAGCAGCTGGTAAAGCGCTCAAACACTAACAAACTGACAAGATCTTTCACTGTCTATAGCTGGGTACCCATTCCCACCTGGGTGAAGTGGGGAAAATTCGGGTAAAGTGTCTTTCCCCAAGGTCACAGAGTCGGGCCCGCCGCTCGAACCCATGAACCGCAACCTCACGATTGCGAGTCCGGCAGCCTAACCACAAGGCCACCGGCGCCACAGATAATCAACAATAGTCAGCTGATCGCAAAAACAGTAAATGCAACCTACATAATTAACTGTTATTATAGTATAATAAAAAAAAACAATTTCGAGAGAAATAAAGGGGAAGTGAAAAAGGTGTCGAATGCACTAATTAACCATAGTTAGACTGAGAGTTTTCTCTTAATGTGGGTACCGATGGTGCGGCGCAGCGAAGTTTAAAAAAATGTAACGATCAAAGAATAGCAGTCATGACAGTATAAGATTATGACAGTATAACTCTATTGTCAAGCCTGTCAGCTGTCAGCGCAAACAATGTCAAGGCCTTAGTGTTGATCTCGCACCCTAATTTGAATGTATGCACATGTTTAAGATACGAAGGGACACCACGCGCGTCTAGCGTATACTCTTTAAAGTTAAGTGCAGTGCTATACTGCTATACATAATTTATCTCATGTCTAACAAAGATGGTAAATCTAGTATTGTGGTACTAGGACAATGCAACAAAAATTGTCGGCAAATGTTCATGTACGTCCTCTCTCATCTAGATAATAATCGTTTTTATCTTTCGTGAAAAATGTTTTGTCTTGTGTGTTTGTGCCTCTATGTGTGTGTGTGTGTGTGTGTGTGTGTGTGTGTGTGTGTGTGTGTGTGTGTGTGTGTGTGTGTGTGTGTGTGTGCGTGTATGTGCGTGTGCACGTGTTTGTGTGGGTGTTGACAACACATTAAAACCAAGCAAACAAGCAAACAAACAAACAAAAATAAAAACAAAAGCGAAATTAAAACAGTTGTAAAATGTTGCTGCTTAACGGCATCAACCGTTATCGATGCCATATGGGACGACAATGTGAATCAAAATAATTAATACGAGGCACCAGGAGGACCATCTCCTCCGTTTCCTTCCCCGCGTCCTCTATGTGCCATTGTAAATATTGCATAGTTTTTCTGTTCAGAACGCATGTGGTAGCAGCGAGTTGTTGAAGGGTACCCTCCTCTTTGTTCTCTCTTAAACTCGTGTCTGTCTGTCTGTCTTAATTTTTGTCCAAGTACTTGACGGCCGTCGTAATGTCTATGTGAATTTCTGATATTACAAAAAAAAAATAATAACAAGAAGAAAACATAGAGTTTCAGTGGTAGCGTTTCCAGTTCGTGTTTTATTCACAAGATAAGTTATGCAAATAGTAAATAGAAGACAAGCTTATTTCTATCTTTATTTGAAGCCTATGGAAAATCGTTTAAAAACGCTTCAAAATACCGTGTCCTTCAACGTTCATCGGAAATCAAAACGGGTGGTCAAATGAGCCTGAAATTTACCCTCCTTTCATCGAGAACAAAACCAAGCAGTAACCATACTATGAACAGATTTAATTTGTTATGACAGGTCTTGCAGGCGTTATGAAGGGTTCATGTAAACAGGTTCAATCCTCATATGCGCGAAATGTTAGATAAATAATAATATTATGATAGGAAGTAAACTATTCTACGTTATAACATATGTTATTTTTATGTTCTGTGCAAAGTAACAGTCAATATGTTTTTGTCTGTAGAATCATAGCTTCTACTAAAATAAGTGTGTACTGTTCCTTAGTGTAACTTAGCAACAACAAAAAATCAAAAGTATATTTCTGTCTGTAGAGTCATACCTTTATTATTATAACTGTATTCTTTAACACAGTGCAGCTTAGCAAAACATAAACATGTCAATCTACTCTTGAAAGATTACCACAGGGTAACAATAAACCTGTCAGAAATGATGTGGATGTTTAGTATACAGTAGTGTTAGCTTCTTTGGAGTATTAAAATTGCCAAGGTCATGTAAAGGGTCGTTATCTGTAGACAGAGATAATAATATGGTAAACAGATCTGCTGTTTGTATTATCCGTGTTCACTGTGAAAGTGTAGTTCAAAAAATTCTGATTTAAAAAAAACTTTAATTGTAACTGTGGCAGCATCATTCCTTACACGCTATGAATGCACTCTACAACAGAGAAATATAACAAATTATGGAGTACTTTTATCCATTTAAGTTGAGCATTTTCTTCTCTTTCTTTACCCCTTCTATTTCTATGCCTGTCTTTCTCTATTTCTCTGGGTATAATAGATCTCTCTATTTCAATATCTCAATATCTCTCTTCCTCTCCCCCCCCCC